TCTTTCTCCTATATTATGCTGTTTTGTATAGATCAATCTGCTTCAAATCTGTATTATATTAAGTTTATTCTAATTAGTTTCAGGTAGAGTCTAGAAAATGTATAACAGAGTTATCTTCATATTCTAAATGAACAGATTTCTATGGTTATAAAGAAAAGCACTTTCTCAGGAAAGACTGAAAATGTTACTTCATAATAATAGTGGTTTCACTGCCATCTTGGAGCTCATGAAAGCTGGCTGGGAACAAGACATAAACAGCAACTATGTCTTGAGGGCTGTGGTCCAAGGCTAGGTATAAGGGGGTCTCAGGAGCTAACAGGGGCCTATAGTTCTTCTTAAAACTGAAGGTGTTGGGGCTGGCAGGTGGCTTAGTGGTTGAGGTGCCGGCCTCTCACATGGCTGACCACAGTTTGAGTCCCAGATCTGGTGGCTTGCTTTCTCACTTTCCCTTTCTTCCTCTCTCTCTCTCTCTGCTCAAATTTTTAAAATAATAATAATAACAACAAAATAATTCTTAAAAAAAAACACTGAAGGTATTTATGACCAAGATGAAACAGAATTCTGTTTGGGCCAAGATGTGTTTGTGTACATAAAGCAAAACCAATGCAGTGACTCCTGGTGGCACACTGAACTAAACCAGAGGCCTTGGAGAAAGGTTACTCATGCCCATGGAAACATGGCATGGTTTGAGCCAAATTCTGAAGAAACTTTCTTGCTAAGGCCATTGGACATGGAATTCACAGAGTACTGTACACTCAAAGGTTTAAAACAATGAAAAGTGAAGGAATAAAAATGGATTCATGCTCTTGTAAGTAAACAAACAAAAAAACAGTAGTCCCCTTAAGGGAATCGAATTGGTCACATATCTTATTTGGATTGTATTTCAGGTCCACGGGGTGGTGAATGACACAATAGCATTTGTGAAGAACATCATCACCACTGAACTGAACAGTGCAACAGATAATCCCGTATCTTTTGAATGCTTACCCAACTGCAACCATGGAATTCCAGATGGTAATTTTAGGCGCTCCTGAAGGAATCATTTTGTGTAACCGTTTTGTCACTCCATTTCATAGAGTAAATGAACTAGTACTCAAGGCTCAGAGGTCAAGGGACATTTTCCAGGGCAGAGCTGGAAAGGGACAGAGGCAGGCCTAAGAAACTGCTCTCAGGTTTTGAATCTAATGTCCTGTGTTTGCACATGCAGCAAAGACCTATGCTGGTATTTCCAAATAGGCTGGGATGTTTCATAAGACATTTGCCCTGAAACCCACAGCTGAGGTTGCTGGTGGAAGGATGAAGACCCACGTCACGAATGTGATGGCAAGATTCCACTAGGTCGGCCTTTCATTGTGCAGGTCTTACTGGTTCTAGTGATGCCAGGATCCATGAAACAGAAGTCAGCCCTGAAGCACTCACTAAAGTACTGATCCAAGAGCGATGGCTTTCTCCATTTCCAGTTTTTATTTCTGACATGAAATTTACTCAAATCAGTCTTTTTATAGTTCTGCAAAAAAAAAAAAAAAAAAAATAAGAAGAAGAAGAAGAAGAATGCTTCCATTTCTTAAGAACAGAGCTTTTCTTTTCTTAATGATGTCTCTTATCTCAAAGCAATCTGGTTTAGGGGAGTTTTTTTTACTTATTTTATTTATTTATTTTTGAGAGATTTTTGTTATAGGGTGCATGTGTTCGCCAGAGAGACAGGGAGAGATAAAGAGACAGAAAGCAAGAAATCACTTCCTGGGGTGGAGGGTGAGGTGGCCATGCCACAACCCCTTCTCCTCCATTCTCCTCTCAGGATCTCGGGCACACCTGCATGCATGCCCAGTATGAATTTCAAACCATCAGGCTCAGGACTCGAACCGAAGTTGGCCATGTGGAAGTACAACACCTTAACCACTGCACCACCTACTGGCTCCTCAGTGTACCTTTTCTGACAAGCCTACTTCAGGATGTGTTTTAACCTCTCTGATGTTTTACAGTAAAGTCAACCCCCCACTAAATAGTCCTCAGGGTGTAGGTCTCTCGACTTAACCTCCTATAGAGCACATACTCAAAGTGCCCATCGAAGAAATAGCATTTACTTCCGAATAGGTGTCCTGGTTTCTGTTCTTAGTGTCAGGTTATAAACACATCGAGGGCGGATTAACAGATTACCCACCAGAGTAGCACAGTTACGGAGCCTGAGACTCTCTGACCTCAAGAGACAGCCTCAGTGCATACTCCATGTCTCTCTGGCCCCAAGTTGGGTTTACACAATGATCATTAAGGTTCTCGTTTTGCTTTGCTTGTTTCTTGTGTCCCTTTATGTTAATACTGTTTACAGGAAGATCCGTCTCTCTTTTCCACCCCATGTTTCTACAAAGACTGGCATTTCGGTCTTTAAAATAAGTAGGCTGGGGAAGTTCTACTTGAAATGATTAGCAGAATGTTATGTTCAAGCCTTAACCTGTTTTGAAAGATGGTCTTCGCCAGTAGGGGAGAGACAATATCTGGAGGAAACTTCCACGGTGAATACCCAGCCAAAGTAAGCTTCCTAGATTTGTGTCGGACCCCGAAAGTATATCCCAATACAGGCCAGCTGAACTGAGGCATTCTTTCAGGCCCTGGACTATTTGGCCATCGGCGTTCATGAACTTGCTGCAATCAGCGAGAGGAGAATCGAAAGGCTCTGTAACCCCTCCCTCAGTGAGCTGCCCGCCTTCCTGGTGGCCGAGGGTGGCCTGAACTCCGGGTTCATGATCGCCCACTGCACGGCGGCGGCCCTCGGTAAGCACACGTGCTTCCCCAGAACACGAGCTTGTCCATGGAAGGCCCTTCACGTTTCACCTCAAAGTATCAAATGCCGTTTTGGAAGGAGATCTAACTTTCACTGCTTTCGTTTGCCTCCCAGCTCTCTCAGTACAAAGGTAGCAGGTGGACTCTAACATGTTTTAGGAAAAAATATAAACAAAACCTAAACAACGGTATACTGAACACAATTTTACAATAATGAGGTTGTAAATAGACAATGTCTCGGGGTCAGCAGATGGTGTAGTGGTTAAGGTGCTGGATTCCCATATGGTGGACCATGGTTCAAGTCTCAGACTCGGCTGATTGAAACTCTTGCTGGGCACATATGTGTGCATGCTCAAAATCCCAGGAGAAGAATGGAGAAGGGATTGCAGTGTGGCCATCCCCCCTGAGGGATGATTTCTCCCTTTTCTTCTCACTGTTTCTCTCTGTCTCTCCAGCGAGCACACATACCCTATGGCAAAAACCTTAACAACAATAAAAAAAGACAATGTCTCTATGGAAAACAATTTGACATTGCATGTGAATGGCATCTTTATAACTTTCTTCCAAATCTCAATTTGAACACTACCAAGAGGAAAAAGACAAAGATGCTTATATGTAATGGTGAAATTCGAACCAACCTGAATGATTACATTTTTGATACATTTCATTAGATATATCGATCACTAAAAGCATAAAGGTGTTATAACAACATACAAAAGTGCTTACAAAAAGCAGGATACTTCGGACCAGCAGTTGGTGTAATGGCTATGTTGCTGGACTCTTATGTAGTCGACCGCGGTTTGAGTCCCAGACCTTGTGGTTTAAACTCACGCCAGGCGCATGTGCATGCATGCCCAAGATCCCGAGAGGAGGATGGAGGAGAAGGGATTGCGGTGTGGCCACCCCTCTGAGGAGTGATTTCTCACTTTCTGTCTCTCTGTCTGTGTCTTTCTGGTGAACACATGAGTCCTATAGCAAAAAAAGGTCCTAAAAAAAAAAAAAAAAAAAAAAAAAAAAAAAAAAAAAAAAAAAAAAAAGCAGAATACCCTTTATGAAAACAGAGCTTCAAAATAGCTTATATCTTTCTTTCTTTTTTTTTTTTTTTTTTCAAGAGTTTTGCTATAGTGTGTGTGCACTCGCCAGAGAGACAAAAAGCGAGAAATCACTCCCTCTGAGGGCATGGCTACGCCACAGTCCCTTCTCCTCCATTCTCCTCTTGGGATTTTGGGGATGCATGCACACGTGCCCCGCGTGAGTTTTAAACTGCCAAGTCTGGGACTCAAACCATGGTCCACTCTGTGGGAGTCCAGTGATGTAACCATTATGCCATCTGCTGGTTCTTAGCTTGCTTTAATTGTAATGAAAATGACATGTTTTTTGTTTGTCTTGTCTTGGTTTGGGCTAGTTTTAAGGCTTTTTGAACAAGCCTCACCACAGGCTGCTTGTTCATATGTGCCTTGGTTTGGAGGCCTAGGATTTAGGATTTATAGTGCAGATATCTGGAAATTCCCCAGCAAAACAGGGTGAACTAATCACCCTAGTTTATAGCTAGATCATCTCAGAACAGGGTCCATTACAGCACAGAATATTATTACGGTTTCACTCAAGACCATTTCTGAAGTCATAGAGAGGTGCAAAGACATTGAATTTGACCTTTCCTGAATTCTGAAGCTCTTGGGAAGGAGCTTAATCATCTAAATCCTCCCTTCTTAAAGTGTAGTCCTCAGCCTGACAACATAGCCATCACCAGGGAGTTTGTTAGGCCGGTGGGCTCTCAGCCCCACCTGGAACTCAGTATCTGCCTTGTAACAAGGTCCCTGAATGATTGACAATAAAGTTCAAGAGGCCTTAATAGGCCTAATAAGGAGACTGCCATAGGATTCCCTTTGACCTCTCACCCTCCTTCTAGAGAGATCTCTGGCAGTTACCCAGTCCTTGAATAAGCCCAGAACATCCACTTATGTCATCATTGAAGAGAGAACTGTTCAGTCTCCTTGCCCAGGATCTGTGGGTCCAGCCTCAGTCACTAAATCCTACTCTTGAATACCAGGCCCACCTTGCACATTGAGAATCTGAAAATGGCCATCACGTCTTTTGTTCCCAAGTCTTCCCGGAATGCTAAATGTTTCCGGTATCTTCAAGTTGGCCTTGAAATATTAGAGTTCTCAGTGCCCCATCCCTGTCTTATGTCAGAACTCACTATAGCTTTAGAGTCCTTCTCGCCTTTGGAAAAAATTGACCTGCTTCTTCCCAAAGTAACTTTGTACCATCTGGTGCTTGAGTAACGGCCCAGGGCTCCAGCAGAGGGTTTTCCTTGCGTGAAACACTGTGGGGCAATCACATGTCATTTTGGCAGCTTATCCTGCCAGGAGAACTTCTTAACTTGTATTGGTCTCTTGCAGTTTCTGAGAACAAGGCTCTATGCCACCCCTCATCTGTGGACTCCCTCTCTACCAGCGCTGCCACGGAGGACCATGTCTCCATGGGAGGGTGGGCAGCAAGGAAGGCCCTCAGGGTCATTGAGCACGTGGAACAAGGTAAGGCCTGTGGGTTTGGGATGGCCTCGCCGGTAGACTGTGATGCCAGTTTTCGAAGCGGGAGCCTCAGCAGCAGCAGCAGCACCTGGGAAAGCAGAGCCCAAGGCCCTCCTCCCTTAGATCTGCTGAATCAGAAACTCTTGGGAGGAGATGGGACCAACCTGTGCTTAGCAACCTTCCAGGTGGTTCTGATGCTTGCTGAGTATTAAAAACCAAGGAGGGGCCAGATAGTGGCACCTCAGTTGTGCAATTGAACCAACGTGGGAGGGTCCCTGGTTCATGACTCAGGACTTCCCTATGCATGACTGGTGTATGATCTGGGTTGATGGAGTGAAGACCCTGTTGGGGCTGCCTGTCTCTCTCATCGAAGAAATAAATAAACTAGAAGAAAAAAATAAACAAGAAGCTATACAGAGATAAAGTGGTTCCTCAGCTGGCTTTTTTTTTTTCTTAGTGAGATTTTTAAAAAACATATTCAAAAGAGGAGAGAATAAAACCCTGAACCCTTACTCTGATTCAACAGTTAGCCTTTATGTTTCATTTTTTTCTTTGACTTTTCCCAAATTATTTCCAAGTATATTTCCAGCATTATACTACTTTATTTCTACATACTTTCTCTCTTAAATATGAATGCGTTCTTATCTACCACGATGCCCATATCACATCCACCGAAATTCAGCAGTTCCTGGCATTACCACCGAGCACGTGATGAGCTTTCCCCAGTTATCTCCACATCTTTACAGTGGGCTTGCTCAAGCCAGAATTCAAGGCCCACAGTTCAAATTTGGTTGTCATGGTTTTAAGCTTCTTCTTTTAGCCTAGAATATCCTCTCTCCTTCCTTTTTCCCTTCTTTGTGCCATTGTCTAGCTGAAAAACCCAGTTATTTTTCCTGTAGAAAGACTAACATTCTGAATTTACCTGTTAGCTTCTTCGTGGTGTTACTTATAACTGTCCTTTCTTCTGTACAGTGTACAACTGTACACTGCAGTTGACCCTAAAGACTTCACAAGATTTTTTTTTTTTAATTTTGGCAGAGGACAGATGCCCTTACCAGAGATGGAAAGACAGAGAGAGAGAGGGAGAAAGCACTTCCCCAGTGGGGCATGGTCATGCTAAAATCCCTTCTCCTTTTCTACATCTTATGGGATCCAGGGCACACACACACTTCTAGTGTATTTTTCAAGCCACCAGGGCCAGGGTTTGTTCTGCAGTTGGCTGTGTGGGATCTGGCTCCCTTAACCACGAGGCCACAGGGCTGACTCAAGACTTCATGAGATTTAGGTTCAACATTTTTTTGGCAAAGTAATTGATAACAAGAACCAATTTTTAAAAATCATTTAAATACACACAGACATACACACAACTTACAGGGGACCAGCAATTGGCATAATGACTATGTTGCTGGACTCTCATGTAATCAATTGCAGTTTGAGTCCTGGACCCGGTGGCTTAAACTCACACCGGGCGCGTGTGTATGTGTGCCCAAGATCCCAAGAGGAGAATGGAGGAGAAGGGATTGCGGTGTCGCCATCCTCCCTGGGGATGATTTCTCTCTTTCTGTCTGTCTGTCTCTCTTTCTGGCGAGCACACGTACCCTATAACAAAAACCTCTCAAAAAACAAACAAACACAACTTACTAAAAGTGATACCAAGTTTTGTTGGTCACTTGATTTCCTGTCCAACTATGAGATATTTCATATACAATAAACTAAAGGCAATAGTGTAATTAGTAATAAAATCAGTGACCTTAACTAAAAGAACCTATTATTTAAGCACTTTGGCTTTTTCAACACCACATTATTCAACTTTTTTAATACCACCTGAGATATTGAGGGAGTTATGTAGGTCTGCCAAAAATTGTACCTTGACCCAGGGCCAAAAATATATGGCAGTTAAAATAATTATAAACAAAAAAATATTTAGAAAATATGAAATTTAATGGATACATTGCCCCATTAAGAATATATTTTTAACATGTGAAGAGACCAACAATAACATTTTCTGAAGTCTGTTAAACTTAATTGTTACTGTAATAATGTTTCACACTAAGAATCCCCAAGTTATCTTTTAAACTGTATCTTCAACATAATATCATAATGAATATATATATATCTTTATTTTCTATAGGATGTGTGTGTTCACTGGACAGTGACAGAGAACCCCTCCGGGGGATGGTCATGCCACAACCTCTCCTCCTCCATTCTCCTCTTGAGATTTTGGGCAGTCTCGCACATGCACCCATGTTTTTCAAGCCTCTGGGTCTAGGACTCAAACCACACAGTTGCCCATGTGGGATTGGGGAATTTTTAACATTAAGGCATGAACAGCAAGTAGATTCAGTTCATTGTAATCACTTTAAGAGACAGGAGGGAAACTTTTGTAGACAGCGAACAGCTTAAAGAGCTAAGAGTGACAAAGATCTGGTGGGAAAAGAGAAGTCATCTTTGGGAAACGCGCTGGGCACATGTGCCCAAAATCTTGATGGGATGAAAAAATGGAGGAAAAAGAATTGCAGCATGACCAATACCCCTGGAGGGTGCTTGTTCTTTCTTTCTCTCTCTCTGGCAAGTGCATACACCCACTGACAATTTTAGAAAAGAAAACAAAAGAAAAACTTTGCTTTTAAATAATAGAAAAAGCAGGTTTAAAATGGGAACCAAGTACCAAGGCAACTTCATTCTACAGAGAACCAAGCACCTGTCCGTTGGCTAATGATGGTCGTCGGGTTCAGGTGACTTGCATCCCTCAAGCGTGAAGTCAGACTTTCTCAGCTCTCCCCCTGGCGTTTCTTCCCTTAGTGTTGGCCATCGAGCTCCTCGCAGCCTGCCAGGGCATAGAGTTCCTACGCCCCCTGAGAACAACCACGCCATTGGAGAAAGTCTATGACCTGGTGCGCTCCGTCGTCAGGTAAGGGCAAACAAGCCCCTGGGAGTTACACCATTTCCAAACTGTGAACCTTGGCAGCACCTACTTGGCTGACGGGTTGATGTGCTTTCCCTGTAGGCCCTGGATAAAGGATCGCTTCATGGCCCCAGACATCGAGGCAGCCCACAGGCTGCTCCTAGAGCAGAAGGCAAGCTGGCTACTTGGCTTATGTCTCAGTTGTGGGTAAACATGGGAAAACAAAGAGGGAACGAGGGGTGGAGAAACATCGCGTGATTCTGTCATCTTCTGGCTATTCTTGGAAGTGAGAGAAAAGGTAACTAGGCAGCTGGCAAGGCTGTTAAGAAGTCATTTAATAAACACGTGTGAGCCCCAGGCTGCACGCAAACATTGACTATCTCAGGATTGGAAGCTGAAATGGATTTTAAATAGAATTGGGGGACAGTATATGTGGGGAGAAAATGAGAGGAAAGATTCATAGATCTCTCTCCCCAAGAGGGAGTATTTCCTCTCTCTGGTGTTGCTGTCACAACTCCTGCCTCCAGGGCCGCTGACTGCATAGGCCTAGAGAGAAAAAGTCCCAGGTGTTTTTTGTTTTGTTTTAGTTTTTGCTATAGGGCATGTGTCCTTGCCAGAGAGAAAAGAGAAAGTAAGAAATCATCCCCCCAAGGGGTGTGGTCACACTATAATCCCTTCTCCTCCATTCTCCTCTCGGGATTTTGAGCATGTACGCACACACACCTGGCGTCATTTTCAAGTCATCAGGTCTGGGACTCAAATCAGGGAGTTAGCCATGTGGGATCCAGCGCCTTAACCTCCATCCCACTTGCTGGCCCCAAGTCCCAGGTTTTTATTTTAAAGGGCTTTGAGCTGGCCTAGTGCCTGGTCTGTCACTGCCCCATCTCACTTGGTGAGTAACAGGGTTTTTGACTATTTGTTTACTCTGGTTACATTGACCATAGACTCAGCAAATGAACCCTATTAATATATATTCATTTTTTTAAAGAATTATATTTATTTCATTTAATCTGACCAGAGAGAGAAAAAGAAAAAGTAGGAAAGCAAGCCTCCAGGTCCAGGACTTGAACCATGGTCAGCAGTGTGGGAATCCAACACCTTAACCACCATGTCACTTGCCAACCCAATATGTAGTCTTTTAAGTGCATTAAACTTTTTGAATCACATATAGGCATTGTGTTCACTAGAATTGCTTGATCTCTCCCAGAAAAGTTGCTCTGCTCTTGAGGAATAATTTTTTTTCTTTGATCTTTACACTTGTCATTTCTTTATTCTTTAAAAATACTATTTAATTTTTAAAATTATTTTACTTAATTTTATTTATTCATCATTTATTTTAATTTGGTCAGATACACACACACACACACACACAGAGAGACAGAGAGAGAGAGAGAAAGTGAGAAAGCAAGACACCAGGTCTAAGACTCAGACCATGGTTGGCCATGTGGGCGCGTCCAGCACCTTAACCACCACGCCACTTGCTGTTCCCAACACTTGTCATTTCTAGGTGTGCCCTATGCCCTTCGAGGAGAACCCTTTTGCTTGCTTCCAGCCTTAGGTGCTGGTAGCTGGGTGGGACAAGTTAGCCTTTGGAAGATCACATTTTCTAAGTTAACTCCAAAAAATAGGAAAGATTCCTTGACTGTCAGCAACAGTCAGATTAAAAAACAGCTGTAAGCCAGAAACAGAGCCTTCATTTGAGATAATATTGTTCTTAAAGGAGAACGACAGGGAGCGGGACAGATAGTGGCACAGCGGTAACACGAGGCTCTGCCAGCCCGACCCACGTGGGAAGCTTCTGTGTTTGTGTCAAGAACTTCCTGAACACACGGAACACACATGTGCTCGTGCTCTGGCGCTAGCAAAGGCTGGGGGTGGATCATGGCATGGAGACACTGTTGCAGGGGCCTCTCTCTGTGCCTCTGCCCCTCTCCCCCCCTTACAGAAGAAAGCAAGAAACCTTAAAATAACTAGAGCATAGGTTGGTGGGTGGGGATAAAAACAAAATGAAGATCCGAGACAGTGCTTCTCAAATTTACTATGTGTATGAATTTCCCGGAGTTCGGAAGGCCTGGGGTAGAGCTGAGACTGTGACTCGTCCCACATGATGCTGATGCTGCCAGGGCGTGGGCCGCACTTTGAGTACTGGAGGTCAGAGGAAGGGAGCACCTACAGCATGGAAATACAGCAGTGGGAAAGCCACTCAACTGCCTTTTATCATTCCCAAATACGGTCAGATCACATGCTTGAGCAACAATCCTTAAGTGTGTCTGCACGGAATTCTCCAGGTTTCGATTGTTTGCTTCTTCTGCTTTGGAAGAGCAAGCAACCTAGAACCTTCATAGTAACTTCGAAAAGTTTTTTTTTTTTTTCTTTTTTGGGAGAGGTTTTTACTATAGGGCGTGTGCACTCCCTAGAAAGACAGAGAGAGACAGAAAGCTAGAAATGACCCCCCAGGGGGGTAGCCACACCACAATCCCTTCTCCTCCATTCTCCTCTCGGGATCTTGGGTACGCACACACACGCGCCTGGCATGAGTTTAAGCCACCGGGTCCAGGACTTAAACCAGTTTCAGTCAACTACATGGGAGTCCAGCGACATAGCCATTACGCCAACTACTGGTCACAGGTTTTGGACTTTGTCTTTTTAAAGCCATTTATACGCCAAAGACCAGTTGACACGGATCATGGATCAAATGGCTTAAAATAAAAGCAAGCAAACACCAGTGTGAGTCTAGCTGGGAATAAGTGATGTTTTAGCTCTGGATGATGTCGATGTCGGATTATGTGTGGAAACCACATCCATTCATATTTCAACTTTGTTTTCAACCTTGCTTCTCAGGTTTGGCAAGTGGCTGCCCCATACATCGAAAAATATAGAATGGAGCATATCCCAGAATCCAGACCTATTTCTCCAACAGCCTTTTCACTGGAATTCCTACACAAGAAATCCACGAAAATCCCAGAGTCTGAGGATCTTTAATGTGCTTTGTCATGGATGAGTCGATCGGATGGCACGTAGTTTAACACACAGCATGTTGTGCAGAGACTCAAGAACGTCTCTAGATAGATCAATCCACTATCTGATTCTGTTCTAAAACCTACTTTGGTTAGGCAGGTGGCAGAATGACAGTTGCTATTTCCAGCCCTGTGTTCTCTTTCTGTAGTTTAAGATGCAACAGATGTTTCCGGGTTGCAGGAGTTTTCTTTGTTTCTTTATAACAGCAGGTCGCTCACTCTTAAGGGTGAGAAGATAACCACACATGCATGGGTCTCTTCTTCCCTCTCAGCATTAGATGAACTCAAATTTGGAAAGAGATCGACAGTGGGCTTTTCTAAAAAACATTGGACTTTTGTAATACCTTATTTTTTTATTTGCTTTGACATGTTCCCCCCAGTAAATTTCTTTAACTGATTGGAGTCTGCCATGTTATGACAAAAGTTGCTCAATAGTCATAAATAACCATTTTAAGGCAAGCTGTGTAAGCTGCTCTTTCTTCTGTTACTTCAATTATAGTAAAGAATAGTCCATAGATCTTAAACAATCAAATACAAAGGTGGTTAAAAGGAACAAGAGGTTTTTCTTTGTTTGTTTGTTTTTCTGAGAAAGAAGTTAAGGAATAAAGATTGCTATTTGGGTATCTTTTGTTTGAGCTGTGTATTTCATCTCTATCAAATGCCATTATGCATATCCCTAAAATGCTTGATTTCATTCTATATTCAATTGGGGATTCAAAGTTAGTATCGCTTCCTGCCTATTAGGACTATGTTCCCGTTCTTACCGTGATCCTGTCTGAGAAGGCCCTTCTTTCACAGATAAGGCCTCTGTGGGGATTGACCAACCCCCTCTCTGCAAAGGTAATCATTAAAATGGCCCTAGTGACAAAGGTCAGATGGAGCCCTGGGAGGCATTACCCAATCTGCCCTCTCCATCAAGAAGACAACAAACCTCCTGGGAAGGCTTCGGTGTCATTGCCTGGGTGTAGGATGGGGCAGATGGCCTCTTGCTTCCTGCAACGAAAAGCTGTGACTTTGCAGCCATCTGTGCCAACGTGAACAAGGCACTCCTGAGTCCCGGAGTCTGAAACCACGTATCTAAAAACCACAGCTGCTCAAGAACAGGGCAGACACACTTGCCAGCCTGCCTGCCCAATTGCACGCTAAACAGACCCAATGGGGTATTTCACAACAGAGTTTTACTCTTCAGATGGCAACCGGTCCACAAAAAAGATGGCGACTGAATGGAAAACTGCGGCTTACAGTAATTCAGGGAGCAAAACGAAATGTGCTGTGGCACCTGCTTCCCCTCAAGGTGGTTCTTGGTGCTATTCTTCGCAAAAATAAATGCACAGAGGAAGTTTATTTTTCCTAGAGGTGTGCTACAGTCAAGCCAGTAAATCCCAGTGGTCTGATGGCTACTCTTCCCTGGGACTTGGGAGGTGCTGGATCATCACCTGCCCCTGTAGTCCTTTGGGGCACAGTGACATTTTGTCACTGAGTTTTCTTTCTTTCTTTTCTTTTTTATTTGTTGAGCATTTTTAAAGGTTATTTATTTATCCCATGAGTGAGAGAGACTGAGGGAGACATAGAGAGTGCCCCCAACAGGGTCTTGACACCATGATCCACTCCCAGCTTCAGCAAGCCCCAGAGCACACAAGCATGCATGCCCAGTACTCAGGGAGGTTTTCCACACGCATCGTCACCTTCCCACATGGGGTTGCCTCGCAGAGTGTGGCATTGGACCTCTGCCACCACCCAGCCACTGTCACTGTGTTTTCTAGTAACTAACATCATACATCTTCAAGAGCATGTAAAGGTAAATTAGGAAGATCTAAGTTGCAGTTGTCTTACTGTGCTGCAGTAGCCTTTGATTTTTGTAACAAAGCTGAACATCTCTTTAAGGAAAGGCTATTTTTCTGTGTAAAGGAATTACTTTATTTATTTTGTTAATTATTATTATTTTTAATTTGCTATAGGGCACATGCGCTCACTAGAGAGAGATAGAGTGAGAAAGCAAGCTGCCAGGTCTGGGACTCAAACCGTGATTGGGCATGTGGAAATTCAGTGCCCCAACCACCATGCCACCTGCTGGCCTCAACCTTTTTCTTATTTTTTTAAGTTTTTGCCATAGAGCATGTGCACTCACCAGAGAGAGACTGAGAGAGACAGTGAGAGGAAGTGTGAGAAATCACCGCACCCCAAGGGGAATGACCACACCGTAATCTCTTCTCCTTTTTTCTGCTGGGATTTTGGGCTTACATGCACATGCACCTGGTGTGAATATCAAACTGCCAGGTCCAGGACTTGAACCATGGTTGACCATGTGGGAGTCCAGCACCTTTACCACCATGCCACCTGCTGGCCTAGGAAAGGCTATTCTAACTGCAGTTAATCCAGTTTCTGAAAGAGTCAGTCAACAAATGTTAACATCTTTTAGAAAATGTGACTTTTCATGTATGCTAAAGTACTGTTGGACAAAGCAAGTCCAGAGGCCAGAGTCAATTTGGAACAGTAACACTCAAGGGTATGGGTCACTAGCTACAACCTACCACATACATAAAATCCCATACGTGACCTAAACATTTTGCAAAAAGATCCCTTTCATACTAGTTTAAACTTGCGTCTCATTTCTCAGGCCAGTTGGAGGATTGATACCTTTTTTTTTTCCCTCTCACCATGTTGCAATCCTCCTGTCTCAGTCTTCCAACTGAGACTAAAGGTGTATCCCACTGTGCCCAGCTCTTTTTCAGACAGGGTCTCACTGTGTTGTCAAGGCCAGGCTTGAGCCTGCCTTTCACCTGCCTCAGTATCCCAAGTTGCCAGAATTACAGGAGCCTGCCACCATGCTGGGTCTTTGGATTAGACTGAGATTTGAACCCATGCCTCCCATGTGGTTCCAGCCCGTGGAACACATCATTTTAGGAGCACTGCTATCATGAGTCTTAATGCTATGACCTACTTCCAGCTTCAGTCAGCACTGGATCACAGGCACACGTGTGCCCAGTATATCCAGGGACACCTCTAGACATGAACCCAGAACCCTCCCATGTGGGTCAGCCTCATGGAACGTTGCATTTTATCACTGCATGCCTATCCTGTCCTGCTTAGGTTTTTGATCTTGCAGCAATTAGCATCTTACCTAACAAAACCTAACACACAGTGTGTGTGTGTGTGTGTGTGTGTGTGTGTGTGCGTGTGTGTGTATGTATGTGTGTGTTACCAGGTGCTGTGTCAGGGTATAGTACTGTCACAAGCAGGTCTATGTTTAAGGACTTCACATCTAGCGAGGAATATGATATAGCAATTACTGTATCGAGCACATGTCCAAAAGGAAGGAAGAACAACTCCTGTTCTGTTGCCGCATCAGGGAGGCCTCCAGGAAAGGATGACTTAGCCAGGCTTGGTATGATAGGAGTCAGAGAGAGAAAGAAGGAAAAGGAGAAACATAAACTAAATTTTAGTGTCAGGAGACATCCATGCCAGGAAGCCACTTCTATGTCAATCGGTAGCTATTAAATAGGTGGCAGCCAAGGTGGCTTTGGTCCTTGCTCTTGTAATTTATAGTCCAGGTAGTAGACCAGAGTTTTAAGCCAACTGCAGAAATACACAAGTACTAAGGGAGGGGTGGGAAGCAACTAGGGGCCGGGTCTCGTAGAGCGTAATTGATGTGAATG